CGCGCGGGGGGCGTTGCGTCACGTCCGGCGAGGGCCCGGCTGCATTTCGCAAGGGGCTAGTTGGGGCGTGATGTAGTTGCTTTTCCACGTCGCTTGGCGGTCTCAGACTTGGGGTTATTTTCAGGTCCAGGGAAAACCAGGAACCCCGAAGTCCTGCCCTGAATTCTCCCGGGAATAGCAGTCTAACCGGCTCCCAGGTTTAACCAGCTTTTTGCTGAAACCCACAGGCGCGACGTCAGGTGTTGGAGCAGCTACGTCAAAGACGCATTTTTAAAAACAGATTTGTTGCTAGTGTTTTTTATGTTCATTTCTCGCTACACTGGTATATTTCCTGGAGTGTCTGCCCGTTTGACCTCTCATCTAAAGGATTTGCTCTTTCAGGCTACAACCTGCCTTCCTCCCATGATTTGGTCCTGTGGTCCCTATGTACACATGGCAGTATTATGTTTCTTAAATCTCGAAACTGTTAAACTCCTAATGCTGTGTCTGCGTCCACAAGATCACAAGCGATGCTGAACACATAAGTCGTCGATAAATACTTGATTGATACATTATTTCATTAAAATTTGTTTAGTACTTCCACCAGTTTTCAAACCCAGATGGTAAGAGTTACATTGAAAATTTGATGCTCTCCTATACCATGAGGGTAGGGGCAGAAAGCGGGAACCGATCACGACGATCAACGTATAACTGCTCTCCCCCAGCTCCTGCCCCAAGGGGGGCAAACAACAGAAATGTGGGTGAAGACCGGTCGGTGTAAAATGAAAATAATAATTTACAAATTATCAAGGGTTCATGAGGGAGGGAGGAAAAATAGGAGCTGACACCAAGGCCTCAAGTAGAAAGAAAATCGTTTGAAAAGGATGATGGCAACATAGGTACAAATGTGCTTGACACAATGGATATCCGGATTGTGGTAAGAGCCCCAATAAAATGACTTAAAGAAAAGTTGTTCTCCTATCCCTGTTCTCACCTTTCTTTCCCTGTCTCCCACCCAGTAACGCTATTCTCTTGGGAATTCTTCCAATATTTATGCACATAGAAGCAAAGACAAATATAGACTCCTCTTTTCCACTTAAAAAATGTAGCAAACTATTTAGACTGTCATGTATTTATTTTCCCACTGAATAATGTTTCTTGAAACTCTGAAAAAAGAGCCCTTGGATGAATACTGTGGCATTGAGGGGATGTCCCATATCGTATTTACTGAATAAAGCGCGTATTTACTGAATATCTAAGGTATTACCAATCATTCTGCAGAGACTAGGCTATGTTCAATAACTTTATACACACATTCCATTCATATTTGGGAAATGCATTTGAGCAACTCCACAGATGTTGAAGTACTTAACACTCCTCACAGCAATGTATGCAACTGAGGCATATTTTAAATACGGATGTTAGTACTTAACAAAAGTTTCGATTTAGGTATTCAAATATGCTTATTTTCAAAGAAATATGTCTTTTACTTTGTTAGTTTGCAAAGCACTTTCATACATTATTTCATGTGACCTGGATAGCTGTGAAAACAAATGAAAATCAACTCACTGCCCTGGAGCGGTTTCACTCACAGGGAGTCTGCAGGGCTGGAGGGAACTCCCCCTGTGGGTTTCGGAAACTGTAACTCCTTTTTTCTCCCATGGAGCCACTGGTGGTTTCGAACAGCTCACCTTGGGGTTAGCAGCCCAAAGTGCAGCCACTATGCCACGAGGGGTGCCCAGTAATTGTGAGGAGGGTGATTTTCACTAAAGAGACAACCACACTGATGGCATGCAGCAGCAGTGTGGTAACCCGAGGAACTGGATGAGAATGGCATGCGCTAAAGCAGCCATGCTCACCATGACGGGTCTGGAAAGCCGACTCCGGTGGGAGAAGACTCTCTGTTATGAGACATGAACAAGTCTTAATATACATTCTCATGACTGAACACAGTCCTTCCAGTAACACCCCCCCTCCCCTATAAAAGAACTGTCATAATTAGCTACCACATAAGATGAATCATTTCTGTGTCTGGCTACTTCACAATGCCTAAAGATTTTCTGTAGATAAAAGCAATCGGGATCTATAGCCGACCCACCATAGAGGTAGCAACCCCTGTGCAGGGGTCAGGGAGGTTGAGGTCAAGGAGCACTAGGTCAAGATGATGACTCAACTTATTGCTTGTCTATTACATTATTCGTTTATGATATCACCTATCGACTTTGTAGTATATTAGCTGTATGACATGCGTGCCTTATGAAAGATCTGTAAGCCCCACAATATATCCCCATTGGAAAATACATTCTCTCTCCCAGTCCTGACATGGGACGAGGAGCACCTGTGCTCCGCTATCTGTCTGTCTGTCTTTAATATTCTCCACAATTGCAAAATCGCTCCTAAGGATCCATTTGAGTGCTGGGGACCCCCCCACCCCAACATAGCAGGAGATAGTTATGATAAAGTGAAAATGGCAAAAATAAATGGCTTGTCAGAGATGGCCCAAGTTAACACTACATCACCATGGAGATCTGAAATGGACCCAAGTCACCATTGATTTTGATTAATACAGTCGCGCTCAGCCTTCCTCATGCCACGGCCCTTTAATACAGTTCCTCATGTGGTGGTGACCCCCAACCATAAAATTATTTTTGTGGCTACTTCATCACTGTCATTTTGCTACTGTTATGAATCATGTGACCCCTGTGAAAGGGTCATTCTACCCCCAGAGGGGTCAAGACTCGCAGGTTGAGAACCACTGAATTAAGACGATGCACATAGTTTTAAAACCTCACGTATTGCTCATTTTAGAATGGATTAATCTTCGGAACGAGGCATTCTTTCCTTCTACACCTCTGTGGGCACGGACATCGTGCCTCGTGACACTGGGTTTGGCCTTCTATTAACAGCTGTGACTAAACAACGGCTTGAAAATGACAGGCCTGAGTTAGGCTTCCTCTCTTGTACTTTTCTATCTCCCTCCAGGGCAGGTTCCATGCAGGGTTTCAGAGTTGACATCTGTACAGCCAACTGTACAACAATGACGCGGAGACTGTAGCCCTAGCAATAACACAGCACAAACCAATACTGTATGAACATATAGAGTTCAGAAATTCTGGCTTACAACTTGTACCAGCCATTAATGTTGTGTAAATTTGCCCTCGCTCTGAAACAACTGAGCCAATCCCTAGTTGCACAAATTCTTCATCACAAACCCCTTCACTTGTTCTGTCCTTTGAAATCACTGAAAAGTCTCGGAGCCTTTCCTTGCACTAGACGTAAGGATCAATACAAGTATTAGCACTTGTTCTGATGAAACAACGAAAGACTCACTTAGGAAGTGATGTCATCGGTAACCTGGGGACTGCTGGTAACGAGACACGGTGTTCAACTGACTCAGCCCCTATCTAACTACTGTATCCACACTGCTGTGCAGATAGAAACACTTTAATCATTTCTTCTGGTAACTATGTCATCATCTTAGACAATATGCTAATAATGCTATTTCTCATTTACCGACCATAGACATTATACATTGACTTCCTGGCAGGTGGTGTCCTGGTTCTCACTTGACAGGTGCAGAGTAAGGTCCAGAGGGGGTAAATGACTACAGAAAGTCCTGCAGAGCTTGGCCAAAGGCAGGTATTCTGATGTCAACCTCCACACTCTACCCACCACCCTGGTGGCGGAGTGGGTTGAATTGGCTACTAATCTCCTCGTTCACTCCCCTACTTCTAGGCCGGGCC